ATATATATATATATATATATATATATATATATATATACACACACACACACTAATCAAAATGATAGATCCTCTACATTCCTCCTCTTCCTCTTATCATCAGCCTACTACTTCCTACTACCACCACTGGCCACCAAGTTCTGAATAGTCGGAAAGAAACTTCATTTTCCATTAATGCCTCCTCGATCTCGATCTGGAACCACAACCACAGTTGGTTTTTCCAGGACACCAAGACAACAACTTCTTCCCCTTCTTTTATTTGCCTCGACGGCTACAACCAATCAAATTCATTATGAAAAGCATTTGGTTTAAAGAGAAATCTACAACTCTAGGTTCCCCAAATTAGAAACAAAAAATTCAATTAGAAAAACAGAATCCAAATCAGAACCCATTAATGAACTTGATTTCTTTAGTAGTTATTGTAATTATTTTCGTAGTTATTCAAATGTAGAACTCTCTTCAAAACCAGTTGAACAAAAACCTTACACTCCTACCCTTCTTTTGGAAAAACAGATTGTTCAGCTGGAAAATATTTTAAAAGATGAAAGACTTTGGTTTGAAAAAGAAAAAGAATTGCTTTTGAATAAAATTCAAAGTTTTGAAATCAAAATGTTACAATAAGAGGAATATTTTGAGTCTATTGATTCAAAAGCTTCTTTTTGTAAAGATTTTATAGGAAAATTTATGGCTAGATCTTTTTGTAAATCTACTGATTCAGATGAATAAATTTCAAAAGAAGAATTGGAGTTTTCTGAAATTCTAAATTCAGATATTTGTTTGGATGAAGAGATTGATCAATTTAATTTTTCTCAACAACTTCCCAGCCACGTTAGATTTTCTTGAAAAAGATAAAGAAAAGGCTGAGGATCCTGTAAAGTTCTTTAAGGGAGAAAGCTCTAATTCTAAATCAAAATTTGTTCCTATGAACTCATATTATAAAAATAATAAATCAAAAAACGTTCACAGAAGCAGAAGAAGAGTAATGTTAAAAATCAGAAAACTAAGGTCTATCATGAAAAATCTTCTGATGGTTTTATTTTTGATGTTTCAGATAAATCTTTCAAGAGCAAGTATGTCTGGCAAGTAAAATGATCTACACGAGTAGATTCGACGAAGTCATCTTCATAACCTAGAAGGAACAGATATAACAATTTTGCTAATGTTGTAAAGAACAAAGTTTCTGATGTGAAAAAGTACTCTTTGAATGAAATAATTCGTTTAGCAAATGGAAAAATTTGTTGTTCTAAATGTGGATGGGATGATTTTGTTCCTTGTACTTATTTAACTCTGTTCATAATTCTTGTTCTCATGTTGATTCTTTTAAATCAAATTTTCAAAAGAAAACAATTTTGAAAGATAGTTGGTTTGGTACTTACAACATACCACCAACTAAATCTAATCTGAAAGGACGGATACTGAAGTGGGTACCTAAAGCTAAGTGATTCGTTTTGCAGGTTAACCGACATGTGTGGTTTCTATATTCGGGATGCTCGAAACACATGACCGGTAGAAAGGATTTATTATCTAATTTTGTTGAATCTTTTGGAGGTACACTTAGATTTGGGAATGATCATTTCTCACCTATCCTTGGATATGGTGACATTATTCAAGGAATCTTAGTCATAAAGAAAGTATCTTATGTGGAAGGGCTTGGGCATAATCTGTTCAGTATAGGTCAGTTCTGTGATAAGAATCTAGAGGTATGCTTCAAATCAAACCGGTGTAGTGTCTGAACCGCTGATGGTAAGGAGATTTTAGACGGAACAAGAAAATCAAACCTCTAAACAATTTACCTATCCAATCTGATAGTAGATATTGATGTCTGTTTGATGTCCAAAGATTCTATGCAATAGAATTTTGCTATGGCATAGACGCCTTTCCCATTTGAACTTTAAGAATCTGAATAAGTTGGTTATTGATGGTTTAACCAATGGTTTACCTGATCTGAAATTTCAATAAGACCATGTATGTGCAGCATGTGAATTGAGAAAGATGAAAAAGGTTTCTCATAAGTCCAAAGTTGATCATAATATTGAACGCCCTCTGCAACTTTTACATCTAGATCTATGTGGTCTGATGTGAGTTCAAAGTATCAATGACAAACGTTATGTCTTAGTCATATTATTCAAGATATACATGAGTGAGGTTCTTGAAATATAAGGATGAAGCAGTGGAGATCATTATTTCTTTCTTGAAGAGCGTTCAAGTTAACTTGCAGTTGTCTGTTCAGAAGTTGAGAACAAATAATGGAACTGAGTTTAAAAACAAGACTTTGGTCTCTTTCTTGGATTCTATTAGTATCTTGCATACATTCACCGCAACAAAATGGTGTCGTTGAGCGTAAAAGAACTGAACCTTAGTGGAAGTCGTGCAGAATCTTCTCGCATATTCTAAGCTTCCATTATTTCCTTAGGCTGAAGCTGTTGGTACGACATGTTTTACTCATAACTGCTCTATTGTCAATAAAAGGTTTGGTAAAACACCTTATGAGTTTATTAATAAATGAATACCTAATATCAAATTCTTTCAAGTTTTTGGTTGCAAGTGTTTTATTTTAAATGATAAAGAGGACAGAGGTAAGCTCAGTGCTAAGGCAGATGAAGTAGTTTTCATCGGATACTCAAAGGATTCTATTGCATATTGGGTCTACAATAAACGAACGAACATTGTGAATGTATCATTTGATGAAGTTGTTGATTTGGCTTCCCGAAAAGACGTTTCAGAACCCATGCTGACAAATAAACTTTCGCATCAATCAAATCCAGATGAAGCTTCAACATCTACAAATAATCTTTCAGATTTGGATTTATTATTTGAAAACTTTTATGAAGAATATTTTGGTACTAAAACTGATAGTTCAAATGTTTTGTCCAAGTTGAATGGAGTTCATTCTAAAGAACTGTTGATCATCTCTCATTGATTTGACGATAATTCCTTTTACCTATCGAAGTATAGTGTTTATGCTTATTCAGTTTCAGTGATCATCACTGAGTCTGTTCAGTGATTGCTGAAACATGCATTGTAACTCTCTAGTGACTCTTATACTTCAATAAGACAAAACTCACACCAAAGAACCTGCAGCAATG